AGTTTATAATGTAAGAAATTCATTTTTGAAAAAGAAAAATAAAAGCCCTTTTGAAACATAGCAGATATTGTTTAGGTTTTAAGGGATCATTCAGTTTTCAATGTCCTGTTGTATTGTGGCACCCCTCTGCTCCTTTATTAAGTTTGGAAGTGCTCAGTAATCCTTGTCTTAGACTCCCTCTAGTGAAGAAATGGTATGCAACTGTATATGCTTGTTAGCTGAGAAATCCTTGTGTGTTTTAACAGATGTTGTATCACTTCTCCATGGTATTAAATGCACTGGCAAGGTCTGCACAGCCTCTAGAATTAACATGGGCTCAGGAACTTCACTCATGGCTGCTAAAGTATGTAGTGTCTTTCTGTGACTGGAAATTTCCATACATACAAGTTTGCAGAGAACTCTACTCCACGGCTGAATAACTCATCCACTCCTCCTAGGTGGGCCCTGGACTTGTGAACTGGGGTAGCTTTGGTATGAACAGAGTGGAATTAGAGGGCTGCCTGCACTTCATCCCACTTTCTCCACTGTCCCTGGTGATAGGAAGCACAAAAATGGAAGTCTTCAATGTATTATTAACAGCAGTGATAAGATAATGAGAGGGTGTGAAATGAGATATTGGAGGAGAAACTCTGTACACTGTGTGTACCATCACCTTCTTTAACACAGAAATGGCTCTGTGGGCAGTTTCTTAGGAGGTCCAGCTGTGAGCTATTGCGTGTCAAAGCAAATACACATTTGAGTAGATACAAATTGCTTGCACAGAGACTGAGCAGCAGTCACTGTGCAGTCATTCAGACCAACAGATGCTTGAATTCACAGAAAAGGGGCAAAGAAGGGAGAGGTCAATTTTGTAATGCTGCTCTATCCCTGCCTTTGTCACTGAAAGACATACCAGGTCTAGAAACTTGGACATCTCTGAAAAAATTACTTTCCCTCACTGATATTGTACTTCACCACACAGGCAAGTATGTGGGCTGTCATTTAGCATAGTATTTGATAGTATAATTATAAAAACTGTTACTATTGGATACAAAGTGTATCTGGCAAGTGTAGCTTTTATGGTATTAGGTAACATTAGAGTAATTGTACATGGTTTTGATATTTGCTGTCTGTGGATGCATAAATAATAGGACTCAAGCTAGATTCCTATTTCTCATCATGTAAAAATAAAAAACCCCTCATTTTTAGAAATGTAACTAAACTATAGTCAGTAGTGCTGTTTTTTTAGATGGGACTCTAATTTCACAATCTTGGTGCGACTATCTCTTGATTTCAGTAACAGATATTTCATGATGTAAACAAGAAAGTGCTGCTGGGGCCAACCTCAGGGACAGCTCTTGGCATCTGCTACCTACTTTTGCATAAATTATCAAGGGACAAGCCATAGTTCAGAGCTTTGCTTGTTTGCAAAATGCCCCTCTACATATTTTTCCTAATCAAGATACACTCACAAGATGGAAAAGTCTAACGTGCCTGGGTATGGCTTCATGTCCTGTGGATCTCACCAGACACCTTGCCCCAGCCATTCTGACATCCTGAAGTGGCCAACACCTGGCTACAAATGCAAAATCTCTAACCAAAGAATGTAACCTCTAGAAAAATGGGTGCTTCACCTTCTCTAGGATTTCTGTTTGGGATCTGAACAAGTCAAAGAAGCATGTGGTGTTAAGAGTTTGTAATGCTGTTGCAGTAGCATTTTAATTAGTTGGGTTTATATATTTATGAATATAGAAAATTGAGCATTCAAGTACCAAATTAGTGAATAGCTATTGCAGTGAGACAGGTGGTGCCAGGGAAGACACAAGATCCCTTACATCTTTTTATAAATTCACATCTTTCCAGAAAGCAGGAAATGGAGAGCAAAGAGGAAGGACCTCTAAGCAGCAGAGGCGGCTTTGGGGTGACCTCACTGTGGCCTTCCAGTACCTAAAGGGAGCCTATGAGAAGGATGGAGAAAGACCTTTTTATAGGGGCAGGTAGTGACAGAACAAAGGGGAATGGCTTCAAACTGAAAAAGGGTAGGTTTAGATTACATATTAAGAAGAAATTCTTTACTATGAGGGTGGTGAGGCACTGCAGCAGGTTGTCCAGAGAAGCTGTGGATGCCCCATCCCTGGAAGTGTTCAAGGCCAGGTTGGATGAAGCTCTGAGAAACCTGGTCTAGTGAATGGTGTCCCTATCCATGGCAGTGGCATTGGAACTAGATGATCTTTAGGGTCTCTTCTATCCCAGGCCATTCTATGTTTCTGTGAATACAAAGCTGTATAGAGGTAAATCTGCCTCTTGCCCACCCGCTAAAAATAAAACACTAAACATCTGTCACTGTGCTGAGTTTCAGTTTAATCCAGTTAAAAACTAATCTATACAAAGTACAGAGTGGGGCTTGTTTTTTTAATACATATATTGCACTGGAGATATGAATTTGTACAACATTGATGAAATTTTACCCCTTCATCCTCCTACTGAAATCCCAGCCAAGTACAAAACCAAATCTCTTTGTGGTGATACTGGTGTTTGCATAAAAAAGTTAGATACAGGTTTCTTGTAATCACCTCCTAAATGAAAAGCAGAATACAGGTGAAAGCACTTATGCCAGTGATATTCCAGTCCCTTATTTATCTGCGATTATAGCTTTCTACTTCACAAGTTCAGCACCCAAGTTCCAACAACTCTTTACAAAACTCTGGCTGCTTCAAAGTATATGGGATAAGGGGGCCAATCTCCAACTGCAGAGTGAAGATCTTAAAATCAAAACATAAGAGGTTGCACCGAAACTGAAGCTTGAGCATTACATTACAAAGCATATCATGATCATATAATGGCATTTGTTAGGAGGCAGATCCAGCCTGAAGGAATGATTTGTGTGGTAAAAAAGCCTTCACACCAAAGGTTTCAGTCCTTGATTCTCTACAAACATCTGTGTCTGTATCACTTGTCCTCTACAAACTTTCATGTGGGATAGGGAGAACAATATCAAAACTTCCCCTCACCTCTTCCATGACATTTGAATAATTCCCTCTTTGTTTCCCTCCTCACCCTGTTACTCATTATCAGGCTACAACCTCAAAGCCAGGGCTGTGCATGGAGAAACTTTATGTAGCCATTATTATGTCTGGGCTTCTTTGCAAACAGATGAAGCTGTTGAAAGGTATTTTAGTCTCCTGACAAAGACAAAATCAAACTGTTGTTAGAATTGCATGGAAGTGACAAACAGAGGAGACAGTGGTTTTGGAAACTAAAAATGTCAACTACTTGCATAAAGAATGAAAAAAAAGGTAAAAGAAGTCCAACTGTTTGAGTGGTATAAATGAAGGAAATGTGACCTGACAACTAACAAGATGAAAAAGATAAGGAACCCTAATCTGTTCTCACACTGAGTTCTGTTATATCGTGTGGAGCACAAGAATATGCCCAGGTCTGATAAAAGAAGCCTTGAACGTGGAAGGAATGTGCCTAGCTTCCATCAATCACAGTTCTTCAGTGAGAAACTTCCCAAATGTCAACACAAAATGTTAGCAATTGCCTTCTGTCTTTTTTGAGTTTGCCTAAAATATTCAAGTCTTATTCTGAAAAGAACATCTTTCTATAACAGAGGCATGCTTCTGTTTCTTTTCTCAAAACCCAAAATACCTCTTTTAATGCCACTGTCAGCAGTTAGCCACAGAACAAGAAGGAAATGTAAAGGATGTTAGCTGAGGTGTGTGTGTATCCATTCAAAGCCAGCATTATACAATCAGAACAATCCATGTTAAAAAAAAAAAACAACCCACACACAAAAACCCAAGCAAACAAAGAAATCCAAACAGGGTTTACACTTTAGGATACTTTCAGTTTGAAACAAATGAAAAGCAAGGACAGACACACAACTTTTCAGCATTATAGTAAAACTGACAGGAAAATCAACTTAGTCTTGTAAAATCTTGGCTTGCAATACTAGGGACCTATCCTGGTTCAATATCAAAATAATACAATCAAGTAGCACCCCTGGTTTAGGACACTTCATAAACTTAGACCAACTGCTGAAAAACTCACAGGAGTTAACAGTGAGACCCTTAACGAGTCCCAGATTCATGTCTGAGAAGAGCTTTCTGAAGCACATGGTGCACTTTGAAAAATCTGGTTTTATTGTAGGAGGTAGGATAATCTGTACAGAAAAAGACAATGAGTCTTGTTCTGTTTTGCACAATATTTCCATCAACATAAAAAGCTTATTTAATAACATGCAAATTTTTGAGATCAGCTGGCATCTGATGAAAGAAATGGGGACAAAAGTATTGTCCCAAGAGCCAGTTGAGCTTTTAACTGCTACACACAATTAGTCTCAACGAGGAGGACGGTTCAGATCAATGCACTACAAGTACAGTATTCCTTTTGAAGGCTTACAGTGAAATTCTTAGGCTTCTGTAAACATGAAAAATATTCACTGTTCCACATAATTCTTTGCTGTGTTTAAATTTTAGAAAGTGCAAATTTTCTGTGATTAAGAGGTTTTATTTTTATTTGGTCTCAAAGAAGAAAGGGTTTGGTAGCAGTGGAAAAAGCAGGCCTTTTATATATGGTCTTTGTTTCCCTATCTCTTGCTTTTCAGCATTCTGGAAAGTTTCTACATAAAAGTAGACATTCAGGCCTGTTCCCTCTTTCCTCTCTGAGAAGATTCTGATTCATGCCTAAACACAGAATGGCAGACATCTCTTCCCTCTTTGTAAGAGCAGAGTTCAACAGCTCAGTCCCCTGGCCATAAAAATCTTTAATATTAATGGTTTCCCTAATTTCTTCCTCTATTATAGCCTCTAGATGATCCCCTTGTGTTTCTCACTGATGCATTGGAGAGAAAATTAGTTTAATTTATAAATCAAACCTGACTGATACTTTAACATTCCCATGATTTTACAGTCTGAGGAAGAGAGCGGAGAGTTCTTGTTTCATTCTGATTTCCTGCCCACCCCACCCCAAGCCCCTCCCACCCTTTTCCCACCCCAAATAATAAAGATGCTATAAAGTTGAGGCACAAGTGGTTAAGGGTGAACTTGATCAGTTCTAACAGCTGGTTCTTGGACATGTCCTGGTGGTAAAGGCTGATCACCTCCTGCCGGATGTTTTGCTGCATCTCCAACTTTGTGTTCCCCAGCTGTAAAACAAGAATAGAACCATTTGTAACTTCTCAATTAAATTGGCCCCAGATGTGAAAAGTCTCTGAAGGAAGGTTCCTATCATAGAAACAATCAACAAAACCTTCTATTTTTTGGTTTATAAATGGAATCAAGAATTTTCTCTGTGAATAACAATTAAATCAGATTAAGATTACCCAATAGACTGCATTATTATTCAGTGTTTCCTCTTAGACTACTAGTTGTTTCTGCTTTCTGTGAAATATTTTTAAAACAATAAGGCATTGATTCTTTCAACATTGTTTTTTCTGAAATATACCATGGTTTTATGGGACCTTTAATCCCAACATGGGAAGCTTGAAAAAGACATACTTAACAACTTGCTCCCTATATGTTGCTCCTTGCTGCATCAATACTTACAGTGTTCTGCCTTTGCCTATGCTTGAATAATATTCATTTTCATAGTCTGATGAACTTGCAGCTGCATTTTTGGGATTCTTTTTTCCTTAAAGTATCCTTAGTAACTCCAGTGGCCTATGGATTTAAAATATTGTCTACTTGGATCTCCTTGACTCAGTGAATGAGTAGTGACCAGTTCCAGCTAATATAATGAATTCTTATGGCACCTGATTAAATGACTTTGCAGAAAGATTTTACATCAAATAATACATATGTTAAGAACAGTATCTGCTACAATACTGCCAGTATCAAAAGAATGTATCATCTGGTGAGGGGAATTTAGGCTCTCAGAACTAAGGATCGTAAAATGAAATTTCCTACAGGCTGATTCAAAGCAAATGAAAAGACAAAATTAAAGTGGTTCTGAAATTTCATCATTTCCCTTCATGGAACTGAATGGGTAGAATTTCAGGGTACCAACAAAGCTGTAATCACTGAATACAGCACTTGAGGTTTGAAGTCCCACTGGTGGCCCTGCAGGGGCAGTTAAGAGCTTCTAGTATTCAGAAGGCTGCCTGGATAGATCTGAAGCCTGTATTTGAAATGAATGTCAAGAGAACTCCTTTAAAGCACAAAGGTAACTCAGGCAAGCTGTTACAGATAAGAAGGGCTAATATATATCCGGCTGTTTTGTTGCCACCAATGAGCAAATGCAATGATTTATTATGCCACTACCTTCTTCTGAGGGTGTTGAAGCAATTGGTCTTTCATACTGTTTAAGGCTAAGTTGTCATGTCATGTTGCATCCAGTTGCTGGTAAATTGACCACTGAGAATATTTAAATGCTTTGATTTGTTCTGCACTCTGAGACTGCAATGCAGCCATAGAATATAAGACAGACCCGGTCATTTGTATGTCCCTGTTCTTCTCTGGATGTTCAGAGACCCTAGATCTCAATATTTTTAGACAGACAGGTACAACACAGTCCTTCTTCTCTGCCCATCTTATGCCTTGTGTTAGAACGCTGTTTCTTTACTATGGATTTAAAAGTACTGAGATTTCAGGAATACTTTAGAAGAGTTATGTACTTCCCTCTTAAAGACTGTTTAGTGAACCTCTCTACAGAGGTCATTAAAATTGCTTTAGATTAATAGTTCCAACAGAAAATATAGTTGTAATGACTTTTACATTGCAAATATTATTTTAAAGCTTGTGTATCTATCAGAAAGAGACATACGAGGTTGGAATTTCAGTTCTCCAGCTGGTCCTGCAGGAGGATTTCCTTGCTGTAGTTTCTTCTGTTCCATCTGTTTTACGACCTGGTGAAAAATAAAATACAACAGTCGAAAAACTTAAATTCGTCAGCTTTCTCTGATGTGACATAAATGAATACACTTATAACAAATTTTGCAGTCATTAAGTAAAGTCTTGTTTAGTTGAGTATATGGCTGAGTTGAGATGCTTGTGTTGTTTGCTGTAATTCTGAATACTAGACTATGTTTTGCTGTGGTACCATTAGTTTAGATTTCAGCTGGGACTCATACAAGAAATCAAGGTAAAGAATGCTCCAGAGCTGGGAACTGTCATGAGCTGTTACACATATAAGGATACAGAAAAGGAAAAAAAAAATATTCTGTTCTCATACATGTACCTGCTGAAGCTCTTGTTTCTGAGCCTGAAGCTGGTCATGCTGCCTCTGTAGTTCTTCCTTCTGTTTCTGAAGTTCTTCTGCCTTCTTTCTAAGTTCATCTTCCTGCTGGGAAATATGATTTTCAAATTCCTTCAGCTCATCCTCAGTGAAGAGCTGCTGTTGATCTAGTGTCTGCAAAAAAATACATACAAATGTGAATACTTAGCCAGGAACACAAGTATATTTTTTATTATCTCCCCACTGAAATTCTTATCTGAATTGTACAGTTCAATTAAAAAAAAAAACAGAACAAGATACCCAGACATGACACTGTAAAGGGTTAGTACACTCTGGCAAACAGCAAAAGAGTCATTTCTCAGCTATTTTGTCAGCAAAACTCTACTACAGATTTAGAGGTAGGAGAAAACTATCCTCTTTCTTCCAGCTGAGCTCTTATCTTCCCTTTAAAGTGATTCATAAACAAAATGTCCATTTTCCATTTGAAAAGCATGTGTGAAAAGCTCTTCTAGAATCCCCAGGGTGGCGCCAGACCTTTTCCGTGTGTGAGAGGCCCATAAAGCTCACATCTGCATTACATTAGGCTGCTACATTTGTAGGTTACATTTAGCTAAGGCGCTTAACGACACACATACCAACACAGAACTGAAAAAAAGCAAAGGTCACAGACATGCCAGTTGGTTTCCTGGTGGAGTGCTGGTAATGCTACTCTATGTTGTACTTGGAACACATTCTCATTACCTCCCAGCTGTCTGGCTCCAAAAATTCTTTTTTCTCTGTAGCTCTGAGGAACTCTTCCAAAGTCACTAGTCGGTCCTTGTTGATGTCAACCTATTTGAAGCAAAAAATTAAACTTAACCTAATGAGTGGGTTTTGATGGAGCTAATATTTAATTTCATCAAACAAATATCCTCAAATATAACCATTTTAATTGTTAAATTGTCCCATTTTCAAGGGATCGCCCGCAACATCTTCTGAAAACTTCTCACAAGCTTATATAGCTTAACAAAAATAGAATTAAAAAGTAAATATTCACATTTTACTTCAAAAATCATTGGCTTTATTGGAAACACTTGTGTTCACAGCCCCAACACTAACAGTGGAAGGTATGACTTTTTTGAGGATAATGTTTTGTAGCTTTCTGGTAACTACTCCAACTCATAAAATTATATCCACTGTCAGATGGTGAGGTTCTGAATTGTGTCAGAATCCTTTAAGGGGAAGGGAGGAAATGCTTCCCTTTATGACTAAATAGAAGACCAGGCTTGCTCTGTTCCTCAAGCTTAAGGAATATAGTTGAATACAGAACAATTATTTTTATTATTATTATAAAATTATAGAATATAAAAATTATTATAATTTGAACACAGTGGTTCAAAATATCCCCTTCCCTTTCCTCTGTCTTCTGAGCTGAAAACCCATCAGACCTGGTGAAGGTATTCACTGTTATAGGTAATACCCTGAGCTCTGAGCTCTCTCCTGAAGGGACAAAGGTGAGCTGTATGAAAGAAGCCCTTGCTCTACACACCAGAATCTTAACCATCTGCCAAGTACCAAAGAACATTTAGAGTTCTTCCCTGTTTGACACAATTCACAGGGAATTTCTATTGAATCTCAGTATCTGCAAGAGACAGAGGCTGCTGCACAATTCCTTTCCTGGAACTTCTTAAACAAGACCTAGTCAGCAGGCATTTACATCAGAATACAGGGACAGGGCGTGAGAATTGTTACTTTATGTGAATCCCTGCACAAACAGCATGCAGTGTGACAGGTCATCCCTTTCTGCTGCACTTGGACAACACTTCATGGCAGAACTGTATTTCTTGAACACAGAAGGAAATAAGCTCTAATGAATATCAGTCCCCACCTCATTCATTACATGTTCTCTCATTCTCAGCCTTTCTTCTTCCATTTCAACCATGTCATCCTCTTCATTCTTGGGATCATAAACTTTTTCTAGCTAAAATTCAGAAATAGTAAATTCAGAAATTAGTAAATGTTAGTTTGAAGAAAGGGCTGCTCATTCAAGTGACAGAGAATATCTGGAAAAGTAGCATGAGACTGCTAAAAACCTAAGTTCGCCATTGTTGCAACAGAGAGAGTCCATGTGTGTGTGTGTGTGTGCAACTTTCCTCTTTCAGCACAGTATTTAAGCAACAAGTGAGCCTTTCTTTCCTAAGAATGAAGTTTTCAGTTAATTCATGTGATCTGTTGCAATTCTGTGCTGTGGCTGTTAACAGTAAAGTTGATCTCAGTGAGCACAGTCTGATCCTGCATTTGATTCAAAGCAGGCAGAGGTTCCATGTGGTTTCTGGAATGGGAGCGAGTAGCTTTTTTACCAGAGCATGCAGTTGACCCTGTAAGCATTTAGGATATCACAAGACAAACTGAGTGCTAAATTTAAGGGTCCACTTCTCCTCTTGCACAATGCCTTTCTGGAGAGTTCATGCTTATTTGTTTCTACTTAGCTTTCTCAGGCATTGACCTTCTCTTGCTTAGCCATAGGTAATTTTAAGGCCCCAGACTATTTGTTTTTAAACTAAAAAAACTACAAAACAGTGAGACATCTGTCAAAAAAGACTGCTCTGTATTGTGGGGGATTATGGCAAAGTATTGTTAGAAATCTCCATTTGCAAATCACGTTTCTTAAAAAAATTACACTAGTTTGAATTTATAACCTTCTATATATACTGTATAGCACATTTCCTCTCTGACTCATTAAATCAGAAAAAAATATTAGACTAGATGTTGACAGCCGTAGTACTGGACCTCTGAATGGGAAATTTATCTTTTTTTTTCCGCAATACCAAAATATAACCTACTGAAACAATTAAGACAAATGCCCTTCATTTACTTATCGATTCTGCAATTCCTATCTTTGGAATTGCTAGCATTACCCCTCTGGGTGGCAAAGACATGCTAATATTTGCTTTTCACAAGAACAAACAAAGGCTTAGAGAAATTAAGAGCCTGTCTACTGTACCAGATGTACATGTGCTGCAAAGTAGCCAGACACAAACCATGAAATTTCTGTAGCCACTACCACAGCGTGCTGTCCCTGAGCCAAGTCACACAAGTGTGACCCTTCTTCCCATAAGACTTGTTGATAAACACTGAACAAGCACAGCTACACATCTTCAAAATCTCAAAACCTCTACCAGGCTGCATCTAGGCAGAGCAGAAGTGCAGCTCTCTGCACTACAATTTATACAGGTGACACCTATCCTGCAGACTAGTTATATAATCTCAAACAAGCCTGTGACAGAGAAATGCATGGGCACTAGATCTCTGATGTCTGACTCCTATTCTTCAACGACTTCATTTTGCCTGCTGATAGGTTTTGCATTTTTGTAGAACTATTAAGGATACACAAAACTCAGCATAAATATGCTATTTTGTAGTCCAAAGTCACCAATTATACTTGGAAAAAATACAGACATCCCTGTAATCATTTTCTGAAAGAAGTTAAGCTTCCGAATGGTTTTTTTTTTTACCTCTTTAGTAAATAGGGCTTCTAATTCTTGCTCATCCAGGAAACCATCATTATTGACATCTACAAAAAGAAGTGTTAAAAATGCAAGTTGAGTAGGTACAGAAAGTCATACATACAATAGACCTTCCTGAGTTAAATAAGGATCAGCACACATATCCCATGTGGATTAATAACCTCATTTAACAAGCAACTGGTTACATAGGTTGATTTTCTCTTTAAATTTTTATCAGGCATTGGCTGAAGTGTACTGCCATTTTTGGTAGGCTGGACAAGTCTGGAGCAATATCCCTACTTCTTAGATTAGCAAAGAGAAATAGGTCACCACAGGATTGTGAAGAGTGCAACTGCCAAAAAATATTACTGAGAACAAGTTGTTGCAATTTAACAACGAAATTTGTAATTAGACTCAGGAGCAACAAAATTTTGCAGAAAAACTTTGTTAATTGGCAGTATGACTCTCCAAAAAACCCTAAAAATTTATGTGAAAATCTATATAAATATGCAGCATTTGAGATAACTGTAAAATGACTTGTCATGACAGCAAATGCTGAGAGGAGAATAGTTGATAACTAATGATCCATCTTTTATTCTACATTGTACTCTGAATATTGTTATACTACCTCGGAAATTGAAAGAGAATGCCTATTTCAAATGGATGGTATTAGCAATATTTTTGTTTAACTGCTTCTAAGTTTTTTTAAAGACCAAGCTCTAAGGCAAAGGTTGTTTCAGCTACTCGTGTTTTGGTAGGATTTGCAGAAACAAGATAACAAAACTTTTCAGAAAATTCTTTCAAAATCTCTTTCTAGAAAGAAGAAATAAGATTTAATAACTATAATACATATTTATAAATTTTATAAACCAAGATAAAAGTTCAGACTCAAGCAACAACACTTTTCTTCATCTAAATCATCATCTTTGGGATTAGTCAAATGTATTGTTCAACCCTTTGCAACCTAGTGCCAGGCAGGATCTACTTAGGGGTACTTTATGATGAAGCATTTAACAATATCAGAATTTAAGGTTACATGATGATATAATCACATTTAAAGGAAAATGTCCACTGAGATACATTTTCATGTCTGCTGTGGCTACTACTTATTGTTTCTAACTGCACATTGCTCAGAAACACAGCAGCAGGATTAGGGGGCATTTTGGTTTTCGTTTTATCAAGGGAATCTTGATAAACCTCTTCTGATGAGGCTTGGCACGTCTGTGGCCGTTCCAAAGATTAGAGGTGTCTGGTATTTATCTGCAGAGATGATGAGAAAGCAGGTTTTCCCCCACCATGGACACACCTCTGAGGATTTATTCCTAGTATGTAGTGTGCAAGCAAAGTTATAGATATGGACAGCCCTCCAAGTACCCATACTTCCCTGAGTAATCGCTCCTGGTATTTGGCTGTAGGATTTCAGGAGTAGTTAAACAAAACTCTGTTTTCAAATTTTAAGCTCCATTTAAAACTTTACAGGAAACTTACAAAAAAGAAGAAATATTTTCTCCTCTATACTATTCAGACTCATCCAAATTATTTGAGGTATAAGACTTCATCCTAGCATATGATAAACTTGTCCTCAGCAGAATGTAAAAGAAAGTAACTTCACTTGTTCATTAAATTAAAACTAAACCTCTTACCGTGCAATTTGAAAAATGTTTTGGGGTCAAATTCATTAGGATCTAGTCCATCTGCTTCTTCCCACACCTCTTTCAGTTGATCTTTGCTTCCCTATAGATTGGTTAAAGAAAAACTATTCAAAAGACAATTTAGTGTAATTTTTCTGCATTACCTTTGCATTACGGTTTCTCTGAAAGGCTTTGTTTGCTGATTAGTCACATGGCAAATGGAATCAATGGAATTTTCTTTAATTCCCTTTTGGTCAGGTCTAATACATTTATTAGACAGAAAGGCCCAGGGAAAGAGAGACTGTCAAAGAAATGCATATTCTGTGGAAAGGAGCACCTGTAATAATCAGTCATGGCTACACAGACTCATCTAGAAACAACAGCTGAAGGAAGTTATATTAATTTGCCCTTTATAGAGCAAACGGTCCTGTGATGCAGTTCCTTGCAGGCCAGGCACACCATGAAGGCATCCCTACAGTTTTTAATACTGTTCTGGCTTACTCCTCGTGAGTTTCAGCATCTTTGTAAACAAGAATTCTGCCAGAAAATAGCATACCTGTACAGAAAAAATGGGGGTTTACATAGTGGGGTTTGTAATGCTCTCAGCACTGTGCCCACGCTCTGCACATCAGTGATAAGAGGCAGATGCTGAGAACAAACAAGATACACCCTTCTCTGTGTTAGCTTTTTCTCTCTGGAAAGGAAGGCTTCCACTCAGTCACATAAAAACAGGCTATGGCCTTACAGGATGGTGAACTTTAGGGTGATCTCCGTGTTTTTTCTTCATCTCCTCAAATTTGGATTCTTCTCGCTTCCTCTTTTCTTCATCCAATGTTTTTAAATACTCTCTCCTCTCATGTTCTTTCATCATCTCATATTTCTTAAACTCCTCATGGCGGGTCTTATCATAGTTTTCCAGGTCACTTGTAGCCTAAAAATACAGATATTTGCAGACATATGATTATGCCACATGATTATGTAACACCTCTGACATTAAACACTGTATTGTTCAGCTCCATGGGCAAGTCTGGCCATTCTGCCATTCTCCTTTTAAATATAGGGTAGTCTAGCTGGGAGGGGTCCTTTCACATGACAGTGATGCAGAAACATCCCTGCTCTGTTATTTTCACAGAAATTAATTTACAAGGCTTCAACTGCTAGACAATTCTTGCGATTGCACAGTACTGTATAAAGGCAGAAAGGTGTCCTTTCTCATCAGTTAGTAATAAATTAAGTTAAATAAGTCCCACACTAATAGTACCATTAACTCCTCGATTACTTCAGACTGAGAACATTTGTAGTTTATCCCACAGTTTAATGAAAAAAGTGCATTCATTAATAGTGGGGGTTAGTTTGCAGTACCTTAATGCAGATTAAATAAAAAATAAAACAATTATATGGAGAGAAAGGGTGAGAGTGAGGGAAGAATTTCTAACAAATATTGTATAGAGTTTAAAGATATGTCATTTTCACACAAGCCAAATGATTTTTTGGTAGTGCTTTTCAAAGTACATGTTTACACCTCATATTTTCTCTCCATGATTTACATCTTAGTTTTCACTGTATCTTTTAAAAAAACAATTCCAAACCAAAGACCCCTTAAAATACCTATTACACTCTGTCAATATCTTGGCTGAGAAAAAATAAGAGACAAAACAATAAAATATATAATAAAAGCAAGAACTGCCCTGTTGAGGATATGCATCTCCTAGCCAACCAGAATTTTCCCAGAAGTGGTGCTCAGAAATGGGAAGAAAAATTATGTCTCTATAAAAAATAATTTTACAGAAAATGGAGATAAAATTTTCCAAGGGTAAAAAAAATTACACAAAAATTACAGGAAGCTAGAAATATAAATTACCTTTCAATTTATTTTGAAAATGTAAAATCTGTCAAATTCTCATGTTGGGCATGCAGTGTTCTCTAAAGCATAGTTGAGATGAAAGTAATTTTTCCCTTTGGGAAGTGTGTTTTTCTCTAGCAGTTGAAAAAAAGCCATGCAGTGCTTAACTACATCCCTTAAAAAACAGGCACTGAAAAAAACCCACACCTGTGACTGATAATGAATCTGCTAAACAGACACTGAATGCCACGTCCAGTGTAAGCAATTTGTAATACTGGTATCTTAAATTCTACTCTGCTGTGGTTTTGCGGCTTGACATATATATAACAGAACCCAAAATTCATATGGGTAGGTTAGGGTTGATTACTTATGTAATTCTGTGAGACTCCCGTATCATCTAGAAATAGAAATCAGAAAATGCACTTGGAAAGAAGTGTACCTCTATCTAAACTGTATTTAATTTAAAGACTTCCAGAAAGGTGTATTTTATTCCCAAAGTTGCTTGTACTGGCATATGATGATAAGATGACATCCCAACATTTATGGGCTCTTTAGCATAATGTACACTGACAACAGTTTTCCAGTGTGCATGGAGACAACTGACTTTTCTCTGAAAATGAAAACTGCATGTCATTTATAAAAAGTGGTATACAGGAAAGGACTTGCCTTTACCAGAGGAAAAAAGCATAATAAATAATACCCCAAATCCCCCATAGTAGTTCATATCTGGCACTCACTGCTTTGATCAGCATATCTAAGTCTTTAGGTTCAAAGGTGTCAGGATTCTGATGGTTCAGGTGCTCAAACTGCTTAAGGAGAGCCTGATGGTCTATGCCAGTGTCTGAAAAAATAAGGTACACGTGCAAAACATGAAAATAAGTTTGAAATCCAGCGAGATCAAGAAGTTAAAGTCTTTCATATGGGAGCTTGTGCCTTGTAAGTACCTGAGGCTCCCTGAGGCCTGGATAATTTTTTCACTGTTGGAGGAAACTATAACAAAATTTCTGAAGTTGTTTTTCCTGAAGGAGGTTGGCAAACTTAATGGCAATTTGCACTGCAGTACCTCTAATGTGTCAGTGTTGCATCGCACACAGTAACTTCACATGCACAAATTAAGGCTTGTGGTTCAGCAAGGAAAAGTACAATCAACTTGAGCTACATAAATTAAGAAAAATATTTTATTCTCTTTTATATAAATGAGATAGTTGAAGTTGTGATGTATCAAAGCTAACAACTTGAATATTTTCCTGAAATAGGAAAAATCCAACTCTTCTACTGCCCTGTACATTTTACAAATCTTAGATCTGGCCAAAGTTTTATGCACAATATGGTATAAAAGTATAACAAATCAGAGAAGCAGATATTCAGATTTCATTTGTGGAAAAAGAGAAGTGCAAGACAGTGGAAAGTCGGGTCTTCTGTCTAACAGCTGAAAGCGTTTTCTCTTCCTTGTAACAGGGGTGATACCCAACCAGCATCAATGCACAAAGAACCAACAACTGAACACATTTCTACTACAGGCTTTTCTACCTGTTACCATGGCTTCTGAATGCTAATGCTAGATAGTAATGCTCTCTTAAGAAGCACACACTTTGAGATGTTAAGTACAACAATTGTGAAAAGCTTTTATTAGATGGCTTCGCAAAGAATATTTTATTTGTTAAAAAAAAAAAAAATGAAAAACCCCACAATTTCAAAACTGTCTGTTTTACATGGAATGCTGTGTTTGTATTATCACAAAACAGCAAACACTGGCCAGGGCAGATTTCAGCCATCATTCCTCCTTGGTGAGATCATGATTTCTGTTGAAATATATGTGCCTTTGCCTGGTTTTGAAACATTTTTACAAGTGTAATAATAGACTTAAGAAAAACAAACAACAAAAAAACCTAGCCCCCAAACCAATTTCCCTCCATTTCTTATACTTAGGGGAAAAGGTTCATTTGATTTGACAATATTTACTTGCCACATTACTGTATTATCTGAGATCCAACCCCTAGCATTCTTCTGTCCTGTACTGATTAGTCTAGTAGGATCTTGGTGAAAATATTTAAAAACACATCTGGATGAAGAACTGAATATATGCAGAATATAATCTCAGATTTGTTTGGGATTTCTTTTTATAAACCTGATCCATCTGAGAGGGAAGAAAACATGGGAATTTGTATGCTTTTTTTTTTCTTTTTTTTAGATCAGACAGAAGACTAAGCTATTAAGTGGTATTCTAGGGCAAAGATTACCAGAACAGATAAAAGGAAATCAAACTGTTCTGCCTGCTGTTATTACAGAATGCTCTTTGTACCTATTCTAAGATGTTGTCTAGGCATGTGGATGCAGCTGTACTTTGTAGGTAATCTGGCCATACTTCTTGTATATGATGCAAAGTACTCATGGGCAAAGCTGACTATAAACTTTACAAAATGTTTTCACATCTTAGTAGTCACCTGAATATTCTGAACTGCAATAATCTGTTCCCAAATTTAAGATCCCACACTTATTTGGTAACAGATCTGAGCTGCTGGGGGGAATTATTTTTCTAAAGCACATTGTGTTAGTTACTATTGATTTATGACAGTAGAGGGGGCTAGAAGTAATCAGTCCATCAAACTTCAAAATACACAAAATTACTATGTACACAACCATTAAGTGCTGTCAGCTGGTTCACTGTGAATGTCACCAGGATGCAACATCCTCATAAACACTTATTTGCACTTGCACACTTCTTCAGTCTGTTTGCCACCTCTGAATTTGGCTTAGCCTGGAAGACAGATCTTCATTCTTGGAGTATTTTAATTTGATACATTATGGATTCAATTCCATGGGATCCTTCCCCATGACTTGCAAAGATTTTTAATAATAAAATAATCTGCGTAGGCAAATTGAGACTTTTTTTATAAGAGTTTCTTTGTGAAAACACCATTTCAGAAACAAGATCATGGAGTCCATCATTAGGATCTTTGTTTATGACCAACTAAATCTCTTTAAAAAGAAACCACTAATAAGAAATTTACAGAATTAGTTCTAAGTGCATACTTTAAAAGTTCTTCAGTAAAAAGAAATAAAAAGGGATAGCACCTTTTCCCAGACAAACTTGCAGCAACTAGAATAATTAGAAACTTGTATACTTTATTCACTAAAAGGAACTGCCTGAGTTTGTAAAATTTCACTAGAAATTAAGCAAATGAACAAATGCTATGGAGAATTTTTTCACTCCAAACATTTTTCCTTATTCAGGAGCTTAAAACTGACTCCAAAATAAGAAAAACAATCCTCTAAATATAAATATTTAATGTTTGCTTTAAATCTGTACAATAACTCCAACTAGTGGAAAGGGGGCTAAAAGATGTCAAAGAGGAAAACTTTCACGTTAACTGACTGTCCAACGATAAATTTTCTACCCTGCAAAGTCATGAAACACTGTGTCATATCTTCTTAAACATAGTCCTACTATGTTACTGCTCTCAGTGAGTAATTGTGAATTACAAAATAGAAAAGAAGTTGAAAAACAATTAGAAGCATCTAACAAATTTATTTATAAGTATCTAACATATTTATTTATAAATAACTGAACTTGTTTCTGTCAGTGAAAAATCCACTGACAGAAAGAAGTTTAGGTTTAGGTATTTATAAAACACAGATGGCTCTTCTGTTATCCCCAGTTTCCTATAAAGACAGGTCTTTACTGGCCTTAGGCCAGCTCAGAAAGGACACTCACTTTCAGCTTAGTTATTATTGTTGACAACAAACAAAGCACAACTAATGGACTTTGCCATTTCTCCAACACAATTGTCCCACAGCTCACCTTGGTAAATTTTGTTTCTTACCTTGAACAGAATCCATTTTAGCTTTAATTAACATTCTTAATCTTGCCACCTCTTGTCGTTTTAGTTCATCCAGCCGTGTTCTCACATGGTGGCTTACTAAATCAAGCTCTCTGCTTAGCTTTCCGCTCTGATGAAAAACAAAAGTTATGTATAAAAACTGGAAGAAAGTAGTTTTTAGGATTAGACATGAGCTGCAAGACTGTAGCAATACTGTAGCACTCACTGTAAGAATCTCAGTATTTTTCCAAAGAGCAGATTCAAAATTTTTATGCCTATGGTTATAGAAACAGAAAGGAATCCTGTAAGCTTTCTGAAAAGAGAATTTCTATCTTGCTCCTCCAAAGAGCAAAACCATAACCTTGAAGGAGCAATGCCTAATAATGTTTGTGACAAGTTTCTTGATCAAATGTCCTCAACTTAGTTCACAAGAATTGTGAGAAACACACAAAGTGCTGTGTTCTTCATCCCCTCGATGAGGGCTGTAAGACCTCAGGGAAAGTACAAGCACAGCAACAGCCATCAATGTGTATTCAAGAACCTTGAAATGAGCAGCAATATTCAAGGGTTACACTAGATGGAGCACAGAAGAAGCTGAAAGCTGCCAATGCCAACACGAGGGATTAAAGGAAACACAAAAGGCAGGATGTCCTCTTTAAGTCTGTCACTTTAGACTGTTTCCTACCCATCCCTTGCAGAATTTCTAGCTCATAAAGGAAGAATGCAGAACAGCCACCACCTAGAGCCAGGAACCAAAGAGTAAAAGACACCAAGGTGGTGAGGTTTTGGACAGAGTGCTATGTGGATTGGCACAAAAGATAGGACAGCAGCAGAGAAATCCAGAGGTCTGGTTTATTCCTATATACACTGACTTTACTTCTAGCACAACTCCTCAGTATCCCCAGATGTTAAAATCTGTCTTGTAATTCTTTTCCACGTCATCATATACATTTTTGAATTACTATCTTAGTCCCAGAAAGCAAATATACCTCTGGGTTCAAAACAGCGTTCCAAATTACTCAGCAAGCAACTACACATGAAAGCTACAACTGCAGCTGTTTTGATGGACATGAAGGTTCACCTATCTGCATAAAGTCTGAAACTAGCTTTTTAGGATATAGGCAGCAGGCAGAAACTATGCATTCCAGTGTATATTGTTGCTAGGGTTTCTTATGCTATGGAATATTCTTTAACGAACAGAAGTTCTGCTGTCCCTTGACTACAGACAAAGATCTAGTAAAATACTTAATTAAATAAAAATTACATTTAAGCTCACAAAAATTGAGAGGAGTATGGAAAAAAAAGGAAGAAAGAATACAACATACATGGCTCAAGATGATGGATTTACTTAACCTTGATTTAACTCTTTTTTTTGAACCTACCTTTATTTCCTCTATGTCAGCAGTCTGGAGTTTCTCCCTGAAATGTTTATCAGTTTCCAAGACATCTATCACTTGCCTGAGATATTCATCATAATAAAGTCCTGTATCCTTCAAAAAAACCCAAAAAGTGAAATTGAAAAAAGAATATACTGCCAAACATTTAGCCCTGTTTTAATACAATTATTGAACTGACACTCTAATCTCAGCAACACAGGCATTATGCTGTCTTACATATCTTTGTTTTTTCCTATTTGCATCACTGCCCTATAGCAACTTCTGATTCATTTGTTTCAGCAACTGACAAGAGGAGAAAATTGTTTAGGAACCCACGTAATACACAAGCACCTGTCCTGTTAATATAGTGTGGCTTTTTAAAATCAGTGCAATTCATTCATTACTGTTCTATTTGAAACACAGAATTGGAATCAGCAAGCAGAATTTCCTAGGCCACCACCCAGTCCTTTGAAATAAGTCTCTGTGGAACAGTAAGTTCTTCCTACTGTAAGCTGGGGAATCCCTTCCACGTGCCACCTCACCTTTAGCAGCTCATTGAAAAAAAATGGAAGAACAACTTTAAGTAGAACCTCCCCACTGTAGATGGCAGACCCCGTGACAATCCTGGCTAACATTAGTTTCCTTCCTGCAAATAACTCCAGTAAAGAACATGTAAATTTCAGAAAGGGAGTTTCCTACCCCCGGATTACTGACAATTAGGAAAAACGCCTGGCAGATAAATTTCTTTACACTTACTGGATTTTCTACCTTCTCTCCTTCTACGTGGCCTTCTCCTTTGACTTTTGTCTTATCTATGTCTATAGGTACAGCTTCCAAGGCCATCACGAGACATGTCATCAGCAAAAGACACTGCTGGGGCAGGACAGATAGCCACTTCATCTGAAATGAGACCAAGTCACAAAAATTAATATAAATGATGTTATCATACTGTACTGATTAGAATTGGTTGACATTCCTACAAAGATACCTGTAATAACCCCCTTTCCACATGATGTTCTGCTCTTCAAGGAACACTAAAACCCAAAGAATTAAATCCAGCTTTAATTTTTAAAGGCCATTATTATGCAAACGTACTTCCTCAGATTAGACTTGTGTGACAACCTAAGTTGTACTGTAAATGCTAAGAGATTTGTAGCATGTGGAGGTATTATCAATAACAGGTGGGAACACCTGTTTAGGATGTCCAAGTCTCACATAACTAATATTGACATTCCTACTCTGATCATGTCTTTGTTGAATTTATTGACAAACTCCTAAAGAGAATCATCAACACTGAATCAGATCTTAGTGTAGTAATGCCAGTGGTTTTTATGTTTCAGTAATGGAGTAGGTTTGCCTACTTTGGAGTCAAGATTCCTTCCAAAATTTATTTGCAGGAATAGTATTTTACAATCCATGTTATATTCATATTTCAGGTTGACAGACGTTAGTGAAAAGAATATTGCTGAGGCTGGGGCTTTATTCAGCCAGTCTCTTCTAGACTTTGTTGTCTTATATGGATCTAATTCTGACATAGTTTGATGAACATTGAGCAGTCTGAGTTCTTGACCTCTATCTTCTTTCCCTCCATCAAATCTGGTTGAAAATAGTTCAATTCAGCCAGAAACTGATAAGACGGAATACTTAAATGGTGTGAATATAAAAATCCAGGTAAAAGAAGTAATGATGGTGACCCAGCATCTGACAGCAAAGTCAAGCTCTTGAGACAATCTGGCCAGTTCAGCCTGTGACACTCCACAGTCTCTGGATAATATATAAAAAGTTTGAGCAAACTCCAGTGCTACATTAGTAACATAATTCACCTCCTGGAACATGAAACTTGCCAGTCAAAGACTGTCTAAAATTAGCTTAGGTATGCCAAAGAAAAGGACATAACATTCAAGAAATGTGCAGTCAAATCAAAAGTATAACTGCTACAAGGCGAATTTCTGTACAAGGGCTTTAGCTGGTCATGCAAGTAGTTCTGTCAAAAGTACTTATGTCCACCAGCAACAAACCTCTTTTTAGGAGGAGGGGGGAGAGGGACAAACTGTAATTACAGTGTCAGTGCCAGTTTCCCTGACTACATGATCTGGTACTTGACAGTGAAACATTGCTTTTGCTTGGATTTACTACAGCAATAAATACACATAATGTTATGTATTCAATATTAAGCATTGCTGACACCCTTTATTCACCCTTATGCAACCGCCAGGAAAATGAAAGCACTCTTATAACAAAAAAAAATAGAAGAGGCATACAAGATGTGCAGAGATACTCTTTCTTTTGTTAAGGATGAGGAAATAGCTGGAGATAAAAATATATTCACTTATCCATCTATTGTTTTATATGTCAAAGGTTCAAGAATTACAACAGTTCCCTGAAACTGTTTTTTCTTAATCACATCTTCAGCAGAAGGAGCCTAAATGGATTATGCTCCGCAAATACCTGTTACTTTCGTTTAAAAAATTACTAACATCTGCTCATTCCCAGATGGGACAGCAGGAGCTATTGTTGCTGCCATATTGAGCACAGGAGATTCAGCATCAGCACTACTGTCAGATCCACAACGAGTCTGATTAGCTTTTCCTAGGTTATGACTTTACAACAAGCACACAAACACAAAAAAATCCAGACCCAGACTGATTCACTGGAACTGGTAAGGTAATTTCTATACTTCTACACAAGCTGTTGGCTTGCAGGGACTTACAGAGCTGACGAGTAAAGGAGTTATTTATTCACTATTGCTTTTAAAGATGCCAGGGTTCCAGTACTTTGGATGGTTTTAATTACAGAGCATTGTATAAACGCTGGGCCTAGGTTTGTTAATTTCAACAGGATTTATTCCCAGGAAATGATAATAACTAACAAATACTAGGTTTTCAAGTCTCCTACTCTTGATGTAGATGCCAAGACTGAGTATTTCTGAGTACCAACTGGATAACTTCTGTATATCAAATTGCCAAGTTAACAGACTTGTCCAGAAGTCTCAGGCCAGGCCAGGCTACAAGGGCAGATCAACAATGCTGTTGGAAAGTCCCAAACTAGAGCCATCAGTTGAGTCTGTATCCCTTAGTAGCACAGCTCATTTTATGTATGGATAACAATAGTGAGTTAATATATCTTATGCAGGCCCTCAGTTCTTTCAGCTGGCAGACAACCATCAGCCTACTGTCACTTAATTTCTTCTGTCTTGCATGGACAAGATCAATTGATTTTGACCTCTTTTTTCCAAAAGTAGATTGACTCTGACACCAGACATTGCATTCTCTGAACACTGCTGCTTGTTATTTTATCCTTACCAAGGCATGTTGAAGTATCTGTCAACATACAAACACAGCTAGATCACCACATGGGCTTTAATACAATGAATTGAAGTGGAAATGGCTTAACTTGAGCAGCAGGTTGGATAGAAATAGATAACAGTGTTTCTGTAACAGACTACCTATAACATGATAAGTATGGCATGTAGTTGCACAGATAACACGTGTTGTGTAAACCATCTCCTCTCTGAACCTGTCATCCATTTATCTCATTCAATTACCCCCTTAGTTTTTGTATTGGAAAAGATGTAAACAATTTATTCTTAATTACCATTTCCATATAATAGCTCTCCAAGAGCGATCAGACATCAGCCTGAAGAGTGCCAGCTTACCTATTGATTCCTTTTATGAAAGCTTTTCCATACCTTTGATCATGCTTGTTACTCTTCCCTGAATCTTTGTCGGTCCTTTAATGTCTGATTTGAAATAGAACCTTGGGTGGCCTAGGCTATGCTACACATTTTATTGGAGCACTGTTTCTTAACAAAAAAAGTTGATAAACTCTATAGGTAGGACTAAGAATATTTGCAAGGTAGTGGTTCCCTTTCAAAGCAGACTGAGACACAGTTGCGAGGAAGCCACTGTACTTTTCAGATGAAAGAAAACAGGAAAAAAAAGTAAAAGTGAGGCAAACAATTCAGTATCTGTCAGCTATGTGTATTTAGAAAATCAATAGGAGATAACTGAACCTCAAAATCCACTTCAAAAGATTCTGGATGAGCAGCCTGGGTAATAAATTCAGTAGACACAGAGCACCACAGCCAAAAAGAGGTGCAGGAAAACCAAAAATCCACCTTGCTGAAATTCTTGAAGAGTATAAATGGGGCAGTCTAGTAAATTGTAAGTTAAAGGCCATAAGCATGTATGAAGTATAGGCAATGTATATGAAACAAAACTAAAACTCAAAATATTTATAAAGTATGTGAGTATAATAAATATATATACTCAGCATTTTTAGAACCATTTTTAAAAGATCATGTATATTTGAAGTATTCCTTTTTAAAAAATAATAGCCTTCTGATAATGCTAAAAATTTGGACCCCAATAGATGGATATTTTTCCAACCAAACTATTTTCATATATACAAAATTATAGTAATAAAAGTAATTTAATATTATTATAGACCACTCTGGTTATGTAAGCTGTGTAAACAGTGTTTTAGAAAATCATTATGTGGCTATAAAATGAGCATGCTCATTTCAGGTAAGATCAACAGGTGAGATGTAGTGAGATGAAGAGAAGCCAGAAACTCAGGTGCTCACCATTGTTCTGGTGTTGACTCATTCTTTGCCTAAGGCAAGTACTAAAGCCAACACTCTCAGCAATGACACCCAGCCTTTGATCCATTTTAAAGACATAACTAACCTCTTTAAAGCTCCTGACCCACAATTTCTAGTAACATGAACAGTTGTGGAGACACAGACTCCTGGTTTAGGCTGCAGGGGGACACACTTAAATTTTTAAGACTTTTTCCCTTACAGCTCAGGAAACCTGATATATAAAATGGCCACGCTCAGTGAAACAACTGAGATAAAAGTAACTGTGTTGTTCTGCCAAACCTCATATGAGGGAGCACTGATCACCACCAAATTTAGGATGGGCAACTGGAGCTATATCATCCTTAACTACCTCTGCAGTAGAATCAACAGAACTTATCTATCAAAAGCCCTAATCAAAGTGCCATTGGGTCTGCTGACTCTGTGAAATATATGCTCATGGGCAATTTGGGTTTCCTTGCAAATACCAACCTTTGTAATTACATGCTGTCGTACATAATGGGAAATACTGGATGATATCACATTATGTTCTTCATATCTATTTGATGTAATAGGCTGCTCAGGAAAGATTACATCAGCCAGTTTCGTCTCAGGTTTTGCATAGGGTGTTTTTACTGTAGCTTTTTTGATAAAACAGGCTAAAAATTTCACACATACCAGGAAGAATTAAAAGCAGAAGAGTCCAAAATGGATAAGTAAAAAAATATCTCTCTCATTGGAGCTGACTTTGCAAACTACTATGCCTAACACAGGATTTCCCACAGTATTTGGAGGAACCCAACTGTCATGTAACAAGTAAATTGGAAATACATTTATTAGAATAAAAAATAATTATCTAGTGAATACAGAGTTATTGTATTTAGGTACCTATTAGTCCAAGACTATAGTCATCAAAATTGCCTTAAGAAAAGCAGGTGACTAAGATTTGCATCAACTTTTAGAGTGTGACAGTCACAACTGAGTCACTGAGCACATTCTACTCTGACCTGTATTAGAAGACAGAAACCAGACCCATTGCAAATTCTAACATTAATCAGCTGCCAGAAAAAAACCCCAGCATGATACTCAAATTCAGCAGCTAGAGGGAAGAGTGAGGAAAGGCAGGATGAGAGGAAAATTGGGGTTCCAGTTTTTGTTCCACTAAGCACTTTACTATTAAGAGTTCATTCCACTCTCAGCCTGCTACCAGCTACCTTCAAGAGTTCTGGACTTCTGAGAAACCCATTCTGTGATGCCCATCCCTTCCCAGGTATTTTGAGTGCATCCATGTGTCTGACCCAGGAATGTGGTTTTCTCTGTA